GCTTTAAAAGAAAACTACAAAGAGAACTATAAATTGATAATAAATGAGATTGCTATGGTGCTCTACCTAACGTTATGAAAATTTTATTATGCGCCTTTAGTTTAATCAAATATTATAAACTTTGCTTTGGTGATTGCATAATTATTTAATTTAGTGATCTAAGGCAGTTGCCACCAATGTCCAAAACAACAAACGGGAATTACTGCTTTTTTCAACCTGCGACATAAACGTCATTGATTGGTATTGTATATAGGTGATTAAAAACATTTGAAGTTAACTTCTGGCATCTACATATTGGGTTTCTGTGAATTATGTAGATATATCAAATTATGAGACTAGGGACTGACACTGCATTTGTGTATATCACAATCTTAGACGTCCGGCATTGACATGACAATGCAGCCACTGCCAATTTTAAATAGTCGACGAATAAAAGTAAATGAATTTTATATTTACTGCTAAACTATTAAAAAAAACATAAACAAAAGATGACTTTTTGAGTATGTTCTAGTTTACTATAAAATTTACATACATTAGAGATATTTATGTAACGACTTGATTTAACTTAACACATTTTTGCGAAAATTGAGGCCCATCTGTAGCCTTGACCCCGCTGGTAAAGTCTCTATATGTCTTAATAAATCAATCTTTTAGGACGACGCAAGGTACTTAATAATTCCCGCGATATTAATTCCCTTACTGAAGTAACAAGACTACGGTATATACCGTCTTAAAATACTTACTAACTAAAAAGTGTGAAATAAAAAAGGTAAATTTAAAAAATCAAAAAACCCGACTGCTTAATTATATTTCAAATAAAAACTGAAAAGAAAAAAACAAGTCCAGTAGTCTATAATTCTGTTAATAAGGAACAAAGCTACTTTAACAGTCGGGACCCACTGTTGTAAAATATTATGTATTCTTGAATATGTAATGGGTCCCGACTGTTAAAGTAGCTTTGTTCCTTATTAACAGAATTATAGACTACTGGACTTGTTTTTTTCTTTTCAGTTTTTATTTGAAATATAATTAAGCAGTCGGGTTTTTTGATTTTTTTTGCTATTTCCTTAAATAGCCTTAAAGCGCTAGGACCCCACGGACCACTATTTTTAGTTTATACAGTAAAATATGAATATATATGTAGTAATACATCTATTAAATCAATATTGTTATAAATGTCAATTAAGTTTATATAGTACTAGCTGACCCAGCGAACTTCGTACCGCCCTAAAAAAATAGGGGTTGTCCAGCGGACAAAATTGTGAATCTAAACCATTCTCAGATCCCCTTGAACACACACAAAAAATTTCATCAAAATCGGTCCAGTCGTTTAAGAGAAGTTCAGTGACATACACACTCACAGAAGAATTATATATATAAAGATTTGTTGTGTATATTGTTGTTGAAGTAAGTAAGTATTTGCGTAGTTATTACCATAATCATCATCCACCCATGTTCGTCCACTGCTGGACATAGGTCTCCCCTAATGCACGCCACTGCTCCCGATTTTGTGCTACTCTCATCCAACCCACTCCAGCCAGCCTACGAATATCATCATCTCATCTTGTTATTATCATTGTGAATTATTATATGCACAACGAAACAAGATGGACATTTTTCTTTACAAAGCTTTCGTCTGTTCTTATACCATTACCAGCCTAAACGGCAGCCATTAAAATAAAGCGACACTTAATTTCACGGATAATATACGTATAGATTATACCAACTCATTTCCAAGTTAATAATGATCTATTCTTATTGTGCGTGAGATTTCCATATTTCTTATATGCGATGTGGCATTAAAAAAAATTAACCCGAAAACTTAAATAATATAGAAAGTATGTTTCGCTTGCTATTTTTGAGTGAAACTTCTTTTCTAACTCTCTTTTGCTTGATGAGTTTGTATAAATACCTTACTTAATTTTTATATTTTAAGCATGTAACTACTGCTCGATGTTTAAATCTAAAGAAAATATTACTAGAAAAAATTCAACGCGATCCAGGTACTACGCGAACGCGCACTAGGCCGCGTACTCAGCCCCCATGCGCGGGCCATCCTGCGCACGTCTGTGAGGTCCCCGCGATACCCCGGGAGACCCCTGCCGTGGAGCCCCGGCTAGGCCGGGAGGCTGCTAGGGGCGAAGACGCGGAAGAATCCCTAAACGGGGATCCCGCGGCTTCGCGCTAAGCAACTTAGACTTAGGGTATTCGCAGGGTTTTTAGCATATATTATACCGTAAAGCGCTCGTTACGGGGTCTTCAGTGGGTAGCCACTGCTGGGGCTTGTAAGGCTTGCGGGAGTCAGGTGTGAGGTCCGTTCGGCGGTGTGCCTCCTAGAGGTGCCGTCGTCGGTAAACAGTATTTTTTGTCTGCGTATAAAAAAAAAGAAGCAGACGGGACTCGAACCCACTCCCTTCACTATCCGGGCGAATGCACAAACCATTATGCTACCGCGGCCCTGTTGGCCGTGTCGATTCTTCCTAGCCTTCTTAAGCTGCAAGGCAGCATCATTTATTCGTATTGTAGGCAACCCCCAATGCCTGACTACTTTGAGTTTGTTGAGCACATAATAATTCACATTTACAAGCAATTATTTGTTTTAATTGTAAAAAAAGTATCATAGTACACAATATAACTGGTAATATCATGATGATGACATAATCAAGCACCCAATCTAAATTGGTTCTAGAATGCAGGTAATGCGTGTTAGATAATATGGTGAATGCCAAAGCAAACATGCACTTGTCTGGCCGACAGGTTACGTAAATATCTAGACTTCGTCATTAGTGACGCTTGTAAAGAATAAAAAAATAAGAGAAGAGAATAAGATCACTTTACATCGAATATCTATTTCACACGGAATTGACAGTTGAAAGGTGTATGATACCGCTATCAAATGTTAGTAACTACCATAGGGTCAGTCGAAATGTCAATAAGTCGAAAAATTCTTTAAACTATGTTGTACACCCTTTTTTTTTGTTTGGGAAATGCTTTACGCATCCTTCAACCACCGGGGGAGCGAGAGGAAGGTATGTGGGACTCTTCCCTGCTCATTTCAGCCAGCCCTTAGGCCGGGTGAAATGAGCAGGGCCCTGCCTAACGCCCTGAACAGGGCCCCTAAAAACCAGACAATTACCCCTGCACCGGTCACTCGGCGTACATTCTGAGGTCCGCAGTCCCCACAATGCACGCCGGGATTGAGGGTATGGTCGCGGCAACCGTTGCCAACGCTAGGTGATTGTCCGCGAACGAACTCACCCCGATAAAGGTGCCCTGGAGTATCAGGGGCACCAGCATCAAGAGAGAGAGTCACCCCCCAGGGCAGGCTCTTACAGGAGTAGGAGGGAGAGCGTAGTTCTCTCCGTCCCTCTCCCGCCCCCCTTGGCCCTAAGAAGGGCCTTTTGAGCATCTACCGCCAATCGCAATGATCAGACTCACTGTGGGGTGATGCTCCTACCCTGGTCCTGAAAAGGACCGTTGAAAGGTGTTCAGCACTCGAAGTGCTGACCATCCCAGGGTCCCTACCTTTTAGCTATAATCTCTTAATTGTTCTCCTATTCGCCGCTTGTTACGCCTGGAGGGTGAGGGGTAGATCGGGGAGTTGGTTTACCTGGTAGGTACTGGAGCAGGTCGGCTGGCTAGCCGCTCGGACTGCGGTCCGTGAGACTAGTCAGGTGACGCTGTGAACGGAGAAGCCTAGGATCGGCTAAAGCGGGTGCGGACCGGGCTGCCGTTCGAAAGCCGAGTGGTTTGACGTGTGCCACGCTTACGTGAGTGCACATCAAAGTATACCCGCACCGACTAGCGGCTCTCGGGCTGCTCGCCGCTTGCCGAATGCACCACGCATTTTTTTTTTATTACTCACACCAATTAGCCTTGCCCCAAAGTAAGCACTGTAAGGCTTGTGTTATGGGATGCTAGGGTAACGGATAGAATACATATACTGTACATATATAAGTATATTTACATAGAAATACATATTAAACATACATGACTGGAGTAAAAATGCTCGTATTCATCACACAAACACCTGCCCCCACCGGGATTCAAACCCGGGACCTCTTGAGTCGGCGACACCATGAAACCCGGCGTACAAACCAATCGGCCAGGGAGGTCGTCATTTACCTGCATCGCGAGAGTTGGTTAACAGCAAACCAATGTGGCGTTGGTCACTATCGTGGATTTAATGCATTTTTTCTCCCCGACATCAGAAAAAAGCAAGGAGGGGGGGAAACCAAGAAACCTCTCTTCTCATCCTAAAATTAGAGTGTTGGAAAATGACAAATTAATTTCGGAATAAATTTATGGTTAACTAATATAATAACGCATTTATTCAGTGATCAACAAAACGAATTGAAAACTGAACGGCTTTTGACTGAATTGATTCTTTTATGAGTAACTAGCTATGCCCCGCGGTGTTACTCGCGATTTATTAGGGATATTTTCCCGCAGGAAAACGTAGCCTATGTGTTAATCCTTGGTGTCAGCTAACTCCATACCAAATTCTATTAAGATCGCTCCAGCCGTTTAGACGCGAAGAAGAAACAAAAATACACACTCACACACCCGCAAACTTTCTCCTTTACAATATTATTGTGATACCCATAAATATATGTATAGTTTTGTTATGTGATTATGAATCTGATTACAAGTATGTCAAAGTTTAGATGTTTGTTACATACACAGTCACAAACTTTCGTCTTATTTTTAAAGTTTTCTTCATAATAATAGTGTCATTATTATAAATCTTTAGAAAATATAACTAGAAAAAATTCCACGCGGACCAGGCAGCAGACGGGACTCGAACCCGCACCCTTCGCAATCCGGGCGAATGCACTGACCAATTATGCTACCGCGGCCCTCACGGACCGCGTCGAAATTCCTTCTAGCTATTCTTAAGCTGCAAGGCAGCGCCATCTCTTCGCATTATAGGTAAACCCACATCAAGCAGTTACATGCTTTAAAAATAATAAAAATTATAAATCTTGTTTCTCCACCAGCTCAAGCCAGCGAGCCACGCGTCGTATGCTATTACACCAATTGGTCCGTGTACCGGCCGGGCACTGCGCGTTTCAACCCGCAGAACATCAACCCTTATCTGTGCACACATCTCATCTACGCCTTCGGAGGGTTCACCAAAGACAACACGCTCAAGCCCTTCGACAAGTACCAGGACATTGAGAAAGGTCAGTATCTTTATATTATCTCTTATCTATTAGACAAGTCCTGTCCGTTCGTCCGTCTGTGGTGCTGTTTCAGCGGCCAAACCGTAAGAGATAGATAAAGAGAATATTTAAGTTATAAGTTAAGAATAGTCTGATAAGACTACAAACCGGATTTGAGTAACGTAGCACTTCCGGTTTTCGAGAAATCACGAATTTCAAACGAAACCACACAAAATCTCCGAAGTTCTCAATTAATTAAATACTTTTTTTCTTTTTTTTTTAAATCAGGTTTTGGTGAACATTTTGTTCACTGGTTTGCTAGTACTTAACTAACATTAAACTTTAACTTCGACATTTTATTAGCTGCAGTAAAATGAAGTTTCAAAATGTCATTCCGTAAAATAATGTTAACCGTCTATTTATAATAGGGATGTGATTAGGTTCACAGAAAATCTAATCGTTTCATAACTAACTCATAATGTTCATACTTAATTCTATTTATTATTCATATAAATAAAAGACTGTCATTAGTGTGACCGAAAGCTACAGCTATAGTGATTCTGAAAATGATTGAAAAATAATAATATCAACGAAATGAAGATGCTGCGCTGGGCGGGTGGGGTGACCAGGATGGACAGAGTTCGGAATGAATACGTACGGGGGAGTTTTAAAGTCGCACCAATCACGGACAAAATGATGGAAAATCGCCTTAGGTGGTATGGTCACATCATGAGACGGGACGATGACCATGTAGTAAAAATCGCATTAAGCTTGCCAGAACAAAAGAGAGGTAGAGGCCGCCCGCCATCGACCTGGTGGTCAAACATTGAAAGAGACCTTAAGAAAGCCCAATTGCCAAAATCGACAACCCAGGACAGATCAACCTGGCGCCGTAGAGTGAGGAGACCCGATCCCAGATAACGGGAACAGGGACGGAAGAAGAAGAAGATTGAAAAATAATAATAATATTAAAATAATATTGTTATGATATTTTTGTTTCATTTTGGATGTACGTCCCTATACTTCCACTGAAAAAGATCAATCCTATACTATAGTAATAATAATAGAATAAAAAAAAACATCACAACTTAATAATAAATCTCTAAAACAAAACCAAACTGATCATTCATTTATTGAATGATTCACTCACTCACTTAGCTACATCCCTATTTATTTTTCTTCAAAAAGCGGTAACCCACAAAACGTCATTTCACTGCAGCTAATAAAAAGATCCACAGTAGAGCTCCGTTAGTATGTGTTACTACACCAACCATTCCAATTACCGCAGCCATGGCAAAAGCTATTTGAAGTGATCTGTACCCTTAGCACGAAACAATATCGAATTCGTAACATTTGCGAGTCCGAAATGTCATTGTCAAATGTGTAACTATTCGAATTCGATATTGATTCGAATACGAATAGTTTGCGAGTGCGATATGTCAATGTCAAATCTGTATGGAAACTTGAACAGTAGCGAAACAAAGGACGTAACGAGAACTAAAAATCAGTACACATTGTACTGATTTTTAGTTCTCGTTACGTCCTTTGTTTCACTGCTGTTCAAGTTTCCATACAAAATTTGACATTGACATTTCGGTTTGCAAACTAATCGAATTCGATAATGGTTCGTGCTTGGGGTACAGTACTCCTGGCACGAACCATTATCGAATACTGAAAGTATAGTAATCAATGGAATATGCTATTTGTTGTTTTGTTTCAGGTGTTGAAAATACTTAATGAATTTTTACTGTTTTATAAACCTCATTACGATAATAAAATTGATAAAATTTGAATGCATACGTATGTTGAGCTAGCGTCTCCGATAGGCAGTGATTGTACTAGTCTCATATTTCTATTGAGTCGCTCGATGCCGATGAAACATTGAACTAAATGATATACTGATATGAATTGAACGAGCCTGAGCTAGATATACGTTGAGCTAAAATAGGTGAGCTGACTCTTTTTAACAACTCTCTCGCGAGCTGCTCCTACCTATAAATATTTAATATATTATAATTATAATGTATTATAAGTAATAATAATATATTATCTTGGTCAACAACTGCAAGCCTATTGGGCACCATCCCTGACGGCGGCGCTGGGGGTGACTTATTTTTTATTTTGTAAATAAGATGTTATTTATAAGTAGGTTAAGGTAATTTGTATTTAAATATTATTGATTTTCTGTACATATATTATAATTAAACAAAGAAATGCTAAAAATACAATTTCTAAAATTATACGCAGTCAATTATATGCAGTAGTAGTCATATAATTAGAAACACTTCCTGTGAATAAAGAAAGTATAACTTCAACGTACAAATGTTCATAAAAAATATACACATTAAAAAAAATGGGTGCGTGTACTTATGTAGGCGCGTGAGAAGTTATCCTTCTTTGGCATCGTTTAAAATTAGTTTTTAATTGCATGCAAATAATTAATTACAATAAATTAATAAAAAGTCTGGAAAAGAACACAGTCAATAAAGTTCAGTTTTAATTTGAAAAAATAAATAAATAATCAAAATATTCAATTAAAATCGCTACTGAATATAATTTATTAGAACATATGTGATTTGCACTTGTATGAAACTCAAACACGTATTCCGAATATACAAACTAGAAACATGTGGATAAATATTATAAATATGAATACCTATAACTGTTACTTTATTACAAAAAATAAAGATGTGGTTTTTGGTTCTACTACACCAATGGTCAAGAGATGGCGCTGTAGTCTCCTGAATCGCGCTTTGGTTCCGTTGTTCCAGATTAATAAATACTTTTGATAGGCCTTCACAATGCAGTCGTTAGCACCCACTAAATAGAGATTCTATTTCTATTTTGTTGGTAGATTTTCATAATGTGCGGTAAACACAAAAGTAAACTGTTAAAATTTCGTGTTACAGTGATGCGCGCGCATCTTAAAATTTCACTCTCATCATTTTTTCATAACGCGCCTAAAGAAGTATAACTTCAAAAACATGCAATAATATAGCCACCCTTATAAATAGTTATTTATTATACAAGAGTGGAAAGTTCCTTTTTAACCGCGTGCTCGATTTGGATGACCGAGCAAGCGAAGGATTCTAAAGTTGAATCACGAGCGCAGCGAGTGATTCTAAATTAGAATCCTGAGCGTCAGCGAGGGAAACAAACGAGCACAAGGTGAAAAATCTTTCCACTCGAGTGCAATACGTAACTTTTCATCCCACCTCAGCGAGGAAATGACAAAATGAAAAAGAAAACAATTTATAATGACAAAATATTTAAGCAATAAAACGTGAAAAACTAGAATGGCGCGAAGCACGCAAATAAAACAAAGAAACCAAGAAGGTTCCAAATTTAAATTTTTTCACAATTTAAAAAGTTCTAATCATAAATTTGGCACCATAGAGGTTACATTAAATAGGTTTAATGACGTTTTGAATTTACAATTATATTGAGTACTCATTATATGTGATGTTCTAAATTCAAATCTACTTTGCCGCTCAAGCGAATAAAATAGAATTTTCCAGCCAGATTTCGAAGCGCAAAATTACACTTTCCGAGGTGGTGGGATGAAAAAACATATATTATATGTGTATATACTACTATAATTATATATTATACTAGTACTACCGGTCAGCTTAAACTCGCAGAACATTCACCCGTACCTGTGCACCCATCTCGCTTTCATGGTATCTTTTCATTTACTTGTACAAAATTAAATAATCGGCAATCAAATTCTGCATCCTGCTACTGAAATTGGACTAACGGGTTATTAATTTTATTAAAGAAATTAGGGAACCTTAGGTGCTCTTCACTATTTTGCAAATTTTCATGCATAAAATCCGATTTAGTACTAAATTAACATTTATTACTCTACTAACGTGTAATTTCATTCAGAGAAACGCTGTCTAATAGAAAAAGCGGTATACTAAGATAACTTATTAATTCAGTAAATCCGTTAAGGTTTTTTCGATTAACATAGAAATAAGAATAGGATTCAAAAACATAAAATAAAATAAAAAAATGGTTGCCTGTAAAGTCGGTTTTACGGGCGAAGATTTTACGTGACAACGTCTTTTTCTCGGTAGAATATTTATTGATATGAATATAATTAAATTGCACAATAGGAACAAGGAATTGAATGAAAATAAGAATTGCACAAATTTTAACTATAGAAATATATTTTGTTTACTAAAACATTGTACATGTAAACTTAAACTTAACACGAGAGACTCATCGTAACGTTACCGAGCGTAACACTTTTTCATAAGTGACTCCCAGCCGCAACCTAATTTAAGACGTTGTCACGTCAAAACTGCTTTAGCGCAACAAATGTGTTAGAAATTCTGTTATATGTTCGCTAGATAAATATCAATTTATGTAAATGGTCTCCAGGTGGCTACGCTAAGTTCACCGGCTTGAAGACCTACAACAAGAAGCTGAAGACCATGCTGGCGATAGGGGGATGGAATGAGGGCTCCACCAGGTTCTCCCCGATGGTGGCCGCCAAAGACAGGAGGAAAGAGTTCGTCAGGAACGCTATCAAGGTAAATATATAGACCTAACTCTATTTACAAGCAGTTACCAAAAGGCAAAAGAATTTTTTTTTTGGTGATGGACAAATGCAAGAAATAGAAATTTATTTATGGTTAACTCTTGGATATATACATGTATACGACTAGATTTTGAATGTTTTAAATGCAAATATTTATATAGGTATATATATATATATTAAGGCAAGGTTCCAAAGATACTGGCAGCGTTCCCAGTGGCAGCGGGTAATTTAATTCGAATGTAATTATATAAATTACTAAATAATAGAATTTTAATATAGGATGAGTATGAATATCCTCAAATTATTATGTGCCGGTAATTCTACTAGTTTTGAATTACATAGGTGGCAAATCAACATGAAGCTAACAGCAGCTATTAGTTAGGTACCAGAGAGAACATTATAATTTCTATACACATTTCGTATCTTGTAGGAAAGCCTGCGCTTTCACTTCTCACTGATTAAGCTCTGCTTAGCTCTGAGGCAATCACCGACGCCTGCGCAGATGAAGTGAGCAAAATAACATATTAATTATTATATTTGAGTTTATTACTAAGTACCCTGTCTGTATGTATGTATGCTGAATATCTTCTCCTTACATGCATGCATTTTTATAATGTAATACATAATACATATAGTACGCACGAGAATGGATATTACGGATAGTCAATTTAATACAATATAAATTTATTAAATGAGAAAACATTATGCCATGAAATAATTATATTTTTTTGAGCATGTAACTGCTAGATGATTAAATCTTTAAAATTTTCTAGAAAAAAAATTCACGCGGACTAGGTAGAGAATTCGAAACGGCTGTCAGGGCCGCAGTAGCATAATGGTCAGTGCATTCGCCAGGATAGCGAAGGGTGCGGGTTTGAGTCCCGTCAAATGGCTGATCCGCGTGGAATTTTGTCAAGTAAAATTTTCTTTACATATAAAATAATATTAAAAGAAAATACTTCAATCCTTTCGAGGTCGTTAAATTATAAAAGAAGTTAGAGTTAGATCAAATGTTACGAACGTAACGTAACGTACGTTGTTATGTACGAGAAAAAGAAATCCACGCAGTCCAACCCCCCCTAGCATGAGCACCGCGATATGATATATATCGCGTTTTTATTACGTTTAAATGTCAAATTACTATAGTTTTACTATAGTTACTATAGTTTTTAGGGTTTCCGTACCTCAAAAGGAAAAACGGATCCCTTATGGGATACCGTACATCCGTCTGTCAAGACCGTTTTTCACAGGAACGCGTGCGATTTCATCAAACTGAAATTCATGTCAAATATGTTTTTTTTTTTTAATTCAATACCCAGGTCTACTGTTCCTTGGAGCTGTGAATTAAACTTCTAAGCCAAAGCAATCAAAAGATACAGCCGTTTATGTCGCAAATTTTCGAAACTCGCACGGGAATCAAAACCTACAGGGTGCTTACTTCCCGTGAACTTAGAAACAATATATTTGTTTCTTAGGTTTTCACGCACATCACTCATTAAATAAAACTAGTTTTTACGGGTTAATGCATAAAATGGATGAGTAAATTATATTCTTTTATTTGTACTTGTTGATATTATAAGGTATTCTTAAGTTCAAATTGTTAATGTGCTTGTAATCTTTATGATGTATTTTATAGTTTCGAATTATAAGTGTAAAAAAATATCTATATTTGTTTCTTAGGTTTTCACGCACATCACTCATTTCCTTCGAAAGACTTTTATCGAACGCTCAATAAAAGTCTTTCGAAGGTAGCTCGACAAAATTAAATAAAAAAACAGTATTCTGACGATGCAGACCTGAAAAGGCTGCGAAACGTCAATAAATAAATAAAGTTTCGTGCATTAACCCGTAAAAACTAGTTTTATTTACATCATATAATATTTTTTTTTAATAATTATTAAAATATACCTACAGGTTTGTACGGAACCCTCGGTGCACGAGTCCGACTCGCACTTGGCCGATTTTTTTTGACAGTTAGACAGGATAAAAACGTGATATAATGTAAATTGTGGTGCTCATACTACGGGTACAGAGACAGAGAAGATTGGTCTGATGTCTGAAGCCTGGACCACATAGATGTTTTCTAGTGATTTTTTTTAAATAAAACTAGTTTTAACGGGTTAATACACGAAACTTTATTTATTTATTGATGTTTCGCAGCCTTTTCAGGTCTGCATCGTCAGATTACTGTTTTTTTATTTAATTTTGTCGAGCTACCTTCGAAAGACTTTTATTGAGCGTTCGGTTATTTCAATAAAAGTCTTTCGAAGGAAATGTGTGATGTGCGTGAAAACCTAAGAAACAAATATAGATATTTTTTTACACTTATAATTCGAAACTATAAAATACATCATAAAGATTACAAGCACATTAACAATTTGAACTAATAATAATAATGTATAATAACAATTTTAATAATGTATTTTAGTTATTATATTTTATTTTTTAAGGTTTTTAGTTTTAGGTTCATTGTTATAGTATATTATTTGAACTTAAGAATACCTTCTAATATCAACAAGTACAAGTAAAAGAATATAATTTACTCATCTATTTTATGAAATCGGTCGAAAATGTCTATCCTTAAATATGTAGTTAATCATAATAATCTTATTACGTAAAACTAAATGAAATTAGCAAAGAACGTACAAAGAAACTGGAATTACTGGTTTTTCCAACGTTGAACTGTGTACAAGAAGTGGCTACTCACAACACTTTTGCTTTCAAAATAAACGAGTTGTTCCGTCATCTGATAATAGAGACTTTCCTTGCCCCAAAAAAGTCCTATAGTTTTTGTGCCCATCATGTCTTATTTTCAAAAAATTGTTACACAACTGTTTTAATTCGGACAAATTCTTTATCATTTCTTTAATCTTTACTTTCATTCTATACAAGTTGTAAAGCTTAGAAGACTTTATTTTAACTGGTGTGGTTCAACCAAGCAACAAAATTGCTATGTTTTTCACATAAAAATGTTGCTGAAAACGCAAAATAAATACACATTATTGTTCCTGTATATTAATGGAAATCCCACTATCCACCATCTAGTTAATAACAAAAATCTAATATAAGACCTTATTGTTAAGAGCTCGATATCACAGGTGGTTAGTGTGTTAGTTCTGCAATCGTGGAAGTTAAGCAACTTTCGCAATGGTCAGTCATTGGATGGGTGACCAAAAATTAACATATTCAGCTCCTTCGTACTTCGGAAGGCACGTTAAGCCGTTAGACGCGGCTGAATCTTTTTTCTTTTTTTTGTGTCGAGGAAATTTCTTTACATATTCTTAAGCCAACGGGGGAGCAAGAAGAAGGTATCTGGGATTCCTCCATGTTCATTTCATCCAGCTCTGGGGCTCGAGATATGAGCAGGACCCTACCTACTGTAAAAACTAGACAATACTCCTGCACCGGTCACCCGACCCTCATTGTTGGGACCGTGGTCCCTTTGATGATGATGCGAATCTGAATGCGAGGTTGAATCAGCAGTCGTTAGTATCCACCTATCAGCATTAGGTTTGCGTGATGGTTCTTGGCCAAATCTCTCTATTCTATCCATAGGCAAGGCCTGTGCCCGCAGTGGGGACATTGAATAGGCTAATAGGGATGATGACTATTTTTCTTTTTTCTTCGTTTATCAGGTAGATTATCAAAAAGTATAGGACACGTATTTTTTCTTTTTTCACATAATATAAACATTGCAGAGATATATTGGTTTGAAAAGTCGCATGACGTCACGTTTGAGTACACTTTTAAGTGAAAATTCACTAAAAAGTGACGTCACGAACCCCTACTCCCAAACTTTGACGCGCTATAACTTTGTCATTTTTTGGTTGATAGCCCAAAGAAAAAATACGTGTCCATTATTTTTTTTATCATCTAACTGACGAACTAAATAGAATTTCATTTATTGTACCCCGTCATCACCCCTAACCAAAACTATAAAAGAATTCGTGATAAAAAGCAATGTTCCCGTTTCACAACAAGTTTAAAGAGTTACCTACTAACAGAACCTTCCTTGTCAGTTCCTCAGACAAAACCACTTTGACGGATTGGACCTTGACTGGGAGTATCCGGCTTTCCGCGACGGTGGCAAGCCCAAGGACCGCGAGAACTACTCCAAGCTGGTGAAGGAGCTCCGCGAGGAGTTCGAGAGAGAAGCTGAGAAGACCGGGAAACCAAGACTACTGCTCACCATGGCTGTGCCGGCGGGCATAGAGTACATACAGAAGGGATTCGACGTGAGGACGCTTAACCAGTGAGTGTCTTTAACTTTTTCCTTACTTACTAAGGCACGTGTTATAGAAAGATTCTCAGTAATTAATCTAGTCTTGAGCATAGATAGAAAGGGATGTCGCTATATATACCACATAGCGACATCCCTTTCTAACTGTACTCAAGTAGAGATCAACCTGTAGCCTGAGAGAGATAGGGCATAACGGATTTTCCGCTGATGCCTGAGCGCCGATCTCAAGTCAAGTCAAAATATCTTTATTGAAATTGGATGCAAAATACAACTCTTTTGAAAAGTCCATATTTTTTTCCCTACCGCCAGTTAAGGACATTTTTTTAGCTGTGAAGAAAAACTGTCATTTTTTGTATCGCAATAGGGATGATGACTATTTTTTTTTCTTCGTTTATCAGGTAGATTATCAAAAAGCACGTATTTTTTCTTTTTTCACATAATATAAACATTGCAGAGATATATTGATTTGAAAAGTCGCATGACGTCACGTTTTCGTACAATTTTCACTTAAAAGTGACGTCACGAGCCCCTACTCCCAAACTTTGACGCGCTATAACTTCGTCATTTTTTGGTTGATTGCCCAAAGAAAAAATACGTGTCCATTATTTTTTGATCATCTAACTGACGGACTAAATACAATTTCGTTTACTGTACCCCGTCATCACCCCTATTGTCTTTGAGCTATGGTGGCCGCTTTTATGCTTGTTTGCCATACTCAAATATACAAAAACGGGCCAAGTGCGTGTCGTGCCACGCGCAGTGTAGGCTTCCGTAGTTGCCCGTCGTTACCACAAAACATCAATATCCGGAAGAGCATGTTTTAAAGAAAAAAACATCCCTATTTTATAATGTAACAACTTACTTATAACTAGCAAACCAGTGAACCAAATGTTCACCAAAACCTGATTTAAAAAAAAATGTATTTAATTAATTGAGAACTTCGGAGATTTTGTGCGGTTTCGTTTGAAATTCGTGATTTCTCGAAAACTGGAAGTGCTACGTTACTCAAATCCGGTTTGTAGTCTTATCAGACTATTCTTAACTTATAACTTAAATATTCTCTTTATCTATCTCTTACGGTTTGGCCGCTGAAACAGCACCACAGATAGACAGACGGACGGACTTGTCTAATAGATAAGAGATACCCTAAAAAAACTGCCACTGCGTCGGCAAGATTGAAATACATACTTCCATAAAATTACAGCTCTCTAATGCCAACAGTCTCCAAGCAAAACCGGGGACGGACAGACAGATGGACATGCCGAAATAATAAGGATTCTTTGTCACGACTTACCACTGTTTCGTCGGCGTGATTGAAATACATTCTTATACAAAATTACAGCTCTCTAGTGCCAACAGTCTCCAAGCAAAACCGGGGACGGACAGACAGACGGACATGACGAAATTTTTTTTTACGATTGTTTAAATATATTGCTGTTGCTTTCTTCGGTGTAAAAGTAGAAAAAGACTACATGACTTTTATTTAACTTCTGTGCGTACGGTCGTAAGAAATCTGAAATTTAATTTTCTTTCCGGTTGGCGGTATTGCGAGAATGTTCATAACAATCTACAAGAAATATACATCACTGCACTAATAAAAATGCTAACAGCATAGGTATTCTGTAAGATGCAATCTCACTTACGATCTCATTTATTCGGATTTCTGATAAATGTCAAATATCTAATACTGGCTGCTTCTACAGACATAGCGACATTTTGCCATGTAATGACGTTTCATTTACCTCATCAAGAAGGCTTTGGTTATTTGACACCGGAAATGATGCTGAAAATATACAAAACATACGAACTGCCTAATTTGGAATAAGGGTTTCAAATCTGGAGTCCGTATTTAAAAAAAACTAAAGAAACCATTAACAAGATAGAGATCTCTCTATTTGTTTCAACTATAACGCTCACTTTGAAGTATAATATTAATAACACTCGTTCTTCTGATGTCGTATAAAATTTTGCAATTCAGGTAGACTATAAAAATTATATGTCGTGAAAAAATAAATCTATTCAACAAAAGAATTGTACTACACAATTAATGTCGTCACATGCATTTAGGGGCAGTTTGGTAGCTACGAGTTGCGGCATTTTTTCATTTCAAAGGTGTGATTATTTGCGGTACACAATGCGTAAAGGCACACTAGCATACACATGAACGTAAAGGGCATTGACCCCAATATATTTATTTTCTTATCACACTACTTCGCAAATATAACGCGGTACGCACTTTAGGCAACTAACATGCGAGGTAGTTACGAAATTCAATGCGTGTGTGACATTATTTATGTGTCATAAGGTTACTCAATTATCTAATTCAATGTCAGATTGCCAAATCACTTGATGTGATGTGGTACAAGTAAATGGCGCAAACGATGTCACATACGACGAACACCTTTGTTTGCATTCGTAATGTTTGGAATGTCTATGGTAAATAAAGGTGAACTTCCTTACAAGTCAAAGTGATGGTGAAGTTAGTAACAAGTCAAACATTTTACAACATTAATATATATGTATACTGAAAGTTTCTATGTTTTTCTGTTGTTACTCAATCATGCAAAAACTACTGAACTGATTAAGATTAAATTTGGTATGCGTATAGTTTATGACCTGTACCCTTAGCACGGTAATATTATCTATTATTACCGTGCCCTTAGTAGGAGTTTGAGCTCACGAAAACTATCATAGTTTTCGTAATTATAAATTATGTTTCTATGTCCATTTCGGTGAAAAGAAACCAAATATTCTTTAAATTTAAGAAGACGCAAACAATTTAATGAGAGAATTTACACACTGTGTATTTGTATTGAAACGTAAACAATAAAATCAGTACCCTTAGTACGAGTGCGAGCTCACTTTTTTGAGTTTTACAATTACGAAAACTATGATTTTTTTCGTAATTGTAAAACTCGTACTAAGGATACTGGACATAGAATACCTTTTATCCCGGAATGAAGGTAAGGTTCCTGAGGGATTTTCAAGAAACAAAGTAAACGCGGATGGAGACCCTGGCGGCCGCTAGTAAATATGTAAATTAATTTGAACTTAGATAGGAGAGGTTAGGTTAATGTAATTACGCTACACTATTTGAATGCACTATATTTATAGCAACGTTAGGTTTTGGTTAACCAGAATTTATTTTATTTAAAAATTTTATTGTCTTGAATTTAGCAACCAGTAATTAAAAAGCAAGTTAAATAAAACTAGTTTTAACGGGTTAATGCACGAAACTTTATTTATTTATTGACGTTTCGCAGCCTTTTCAGGTCTGCTTCGTCAAAATAATGATTTTTTATTTAATTTTGTCGAGCTACCTTCGAAAGACTTTTATTGAGCGTTCGGTTATTTCATTCTTAGATTTTTAAAATTTTATTGTCTATGTACGAATTTATTAGTCAATGAAGTACTTTATTTAAAATTCTTTTTTTGTAATTTTGAGTTTATTTACTTGTAAAAAGAAAGTTTTTTAAAATAATAATGAAATAACATCATATTATTGGTGTACCAACACAAGATAATGGTGTGAATTCTGGTATGATTCTCTAACTTAACACTAATTATAACCACAGTCTCTTTTTTTCATCCTTTATAGAGAATGACAAGGATACACTGTTGTAGTTGTTGAGGAGCTCGATGGCGCAAGTGGTTAACGCGTTCGGCTACGTTAAAGTTAAGCAACTTTCGCAGTGGTCGGTCATTGGATGGGTGACCAAAAATTTACTATCTCGAACTCCTCCGTGCTTCGGAAGGCACGTTTAGCCGTTGGTCCCGGCTGCATCCGCAGTCGTTAGCACCCTGTCCCTGTGAAAGCCTGTGCCCCAGCAGTGGGGACATTAATAGACTGATGATGATGATGACACTGTTTTTAAATTTAAGGTTAGGTTTATAGATTCATGCCAGAATCGACACCATTGTTTTTCTACAAATTAGCCATATCATTGGTTACTTACCAATCACGCATATAAACAACCGATTTGATGACATCAACGACTTCAGGAATTTTACGATCCTGAATGTTGTAAACACGAAATCATGGCAAATTGCTAGTCACTGTAGTGACAGTGTTATTCAACTGTACTGGTTAATTATAAAATACGCCAAGTCACCAGTGAAATGTAAATCGTTGCCGTGCAAGATACAGTCACGCTGGACTGATTGTGGAAGAAGCGTGTCTACGTTATGCATGCGAGATCGGAACAAATAGTTCAGTGTATTTTTAGGTCACTGAGGCAGCGTTATAAAAGATTACGTTAAGTTTTTCTTCGATGACACTGCTAAATTAATACATAAATAATATGAAGTTGCTTTATAGAATACCTAGCGAATACTTTATTCCGGCTGATGTTAAGTGTTAGTAAAAACTAATAATTTTAGGTCGATATCTAGATCTTTTTTTATAAATTTCTTAGCAAACAACCATAAAATCTCATGATGTTAAGCGGCCACCAAAGCTCTAAGAGCTGGAATATAGCAAGAGTGTTGCCTACCCTGAAGCCATCATCTACCTCGTAGAGCCTTAGAACCATATTCGCCAAGAATAGGGTATTTGACAGTGTTAAAAATAAAGTGCCAATTGTTAGCATCTGTGTTTACTATTTTTACAAAAAAAAATATCCATAATTTTACTAAAAACTAACGAGAAAGTTAATAGTTTTCTTATCTATTGTAACGTGACCCAAAACGCTTGAGATTGGCGGAGCCTAAAATGACGTCACACGCAAGTAAACTTCCGGTTAAAGTGACATTACATTGAATCGTTTGACGTTTTAATAACAGTCGTGTGACGTCACACACTAGTAAGACGCCATATTGTCCAGAGAAACGTTTTCGCGGCAACTTGAAAATGGAGTTTTTGATTTGGTTATTTTTACTGAAATACACAACAGAATGATGAATATCCTCTTTTTACGGACTCCATAAACATTAGTCAATAAAGTAAGATCGTTTTATAAAACTTGTCAAATACTCTATTATGTTCTGTAAAGTACAGATTGCTTCCCCAGACAAGCGAGTGGAAAATTCACATGCCCTATTCTCGTCATAGGTACAATTGCCTTAATTTAATAGTGAGACTAGATTTCCAAGAATCACATAAAACTATCTGAAATAAAGAACATGTCCCTAAATCATCGTATTATCTACCACATATTACTATGAGCACCTCCTTAAGTTATTTTGATCACACTACAAACCAACAAACAAAAAAAAATTTGAAAATTATACATAACAAAATGAGTAAAAAAAATAGATAAATGTTTAATCATAAATGGTCAATCAGGACCCTGCCTCAGAATAATGTTGCAGCAACACGCCACAAAACGTCTTACAGCAGCGCTGGTATTCTGGCAGAGCCTGTAATGCCGCTACTCACACGGCCAATAGCATCCGCCACCCGCAAACCCACAGCCTCCCTCGCTTCAGCCACTTTAGTAGCCGCTTCTAACTTCTCGTTTGTGGCTGTGGCGTGTGGCCCCTGTTGCGTCGGGTTGTCACTTTTTTTGTCGAAATAAAGTACATTGGATATTAAAGGTAGAAAAGAAACGTACATTGTGTACAAAATTAAGTACTTTTTAATCCACTGTATTAGTAAGCTTAAAAATATATTTTACATTGCTACTAGCAACTTTTAATAAATAATTTGCGGCTACTGTAGTTTAGTTTTTTCCGCAATGGGAAAGGTCATGGTATGGCAATGGTTCACACAGCCATGAAAATGTTGCAGGAATTAGCTAAGGGCAACATATTCATACTTTCTGTCCGTTTTACGCAAAAATTCTTCCTATCAACCTCTTTTTGTATATATTATGTAAACTTAATCCGCGAATAATCAAATCACATTAAATAAAGTATTTTCGCGTACTTTATTGTTGGCATAATGTATAGAGTACAATTTCCCGAAATAACGTACAATACGTGGGGCGACACTTATTTCTTCGCGTCACCTTTATGAATACCGGACATCAATCGTAATGTTTAAAAAATGTCTATGTCATATTAAGCTGTATTAATAATCAATTTGAAACAGAAAATCGGAGCCCATGCTTTTTCACTACTTATTCGATCTCGTGATTACTCATAATCTGACTCGCGTACATGCGACGTCTAATTAAATAAATAAATATTTCCAATACTCACACTAATTAGCTTAGCCCCAAAGTAAGCACTGTAAGGCTTTTGCTATGGGATGCTAGGGTAACGGATAGAATACATATACTGTACGTATATAAGTATATTTATATAGAAATACATACAACATCCATGACTGGAGTACAAATGCTCTTATTCATCACACAAACATCTGCTCCCACCGGGATTCGAACCCACTCGGCCATCAGGATGACTGATTTGGAGGAGGTCGTCGAAAATTCTGTCTAGGATGTAGATCATCCTCATTATAATCAAAGGTAACACGCGCTACGTAACAACTCATTGAGAACCACGCATCGCGTAATGAATCATTAATAATTTCATACATTTCTCAACACATGAGTCAGTCAGCCAGCGTATAATACGCCGCTGTAGGATCGCATCCTGTCGCAACGAGCGTTGATTTGCATGCGCTCTGGGACCATACAATAGCCAACGGTGCATACACAAATGGTGCCGACACTCGATGATATGTAGGGCCCCCACACGTTTTCATTAATGAGGATACTGATCTACGGCAAGTTTCATTAATCATGTAGATGCCTAGACATTGTAAATCAGTTCTAAATAACAACTATTGCTAAGAAAAGTAACCAGAATAAAATTGTCTTTAAGTAGAGATTGATTTATTGAAACTGAACGATAATGCTGTAATTAAACTTAATGATAAGTTCGCATCACAGCTTATAAAGGCTTATAAATTATTCTCTTATTATGAGAAAATGGTAATATCATAAAATGAATCGATAACTCAAAAAGTAAGTTTCTCGATTTTATATTTTGGTGTGTTTTAAACAAAAATGAAGAAAAACGATATCCTGGAAGTGCTCCTGGTGACAGGAAAAGTACAGGGAAGGCGACCGAGAGGAAGAAGCCCCATACGCTGGACAGACCAGATCCGCGACAATACCAAAACTGGAGTCCGCGATGCACTCCACACTGCCGAAGACCGCAACAAATGGAAAGCGATCATCCACAAAATAATTCGTGGAAGTCACGACCCTCAGCAATGAGGAGCACGACACAAGGAGGAGGAAAACAAAAAGAAACTTAAAAGACATGGAAGACATAAATCATCTATTGGCATAAGCCTATGTTCATCAATGGACAAGTGCAAAAAATGATGATGTTTTGTGGTGTTCATTCCATATTTATTACTAGCTAATATTCAAATTATCAATAAATTAAGAAGATTAGATTATAAAAATATATTACAAAGGAAAAAAAACACTGATACGCTAATTTTAAAGCAACAAGTCATAAATGACTGAAATTTCGCAATCCCATTAAAGTACAAATTCACATACTCATGTCATGCCAAATAAGAATAGTAAAAACTAAATGCCATTGAACGATCCTTAACTACTGGTCAATATTCTAAACGCAATTTAATGTTCGTCCTTTCGAAACCTGCGAAGTGATTTGCATGCGAAGTGGAACAATAGTGCACAGAGAACGCAACGAATCCCTTTGTGTATTCATTAGCAACAACAGTAGCAATTGTATTGTGCGTTTAAACCAGCAGGATATTTATAATGTCCTATACTAGCACAATGGGAAAATATTTGGGGATGTTGCAACTGCAACTCATGAGGTTACAGTTTTTAAGACTGTATTAGTTAATATAGATGGTTCGAAGCTCAGCCACTCAAGCAAGTTTTATATACATACACCAGGAAGAAAATTTTACGAACATTTTTTTACAACTTTTAAATTTCAATTTTAAGTAAAAGAAAATACAATTACTTCATATATTTTTAAACTATTTCAATGTGCAACATATGTTTTTAATAAAAAAAAACACTATTTCTGCACTAGTTTCACAAATCATGGTCACTTTAATAAATGACGAACAAATGTTTCAAATTTGCCGCATCTCAGTCAACTCAACGCTCTGTTAACTTACTGAGTCTATGTGTTAAGACACACATCCATTGTAAGAATTTCATAATTATTAAGTAACTGAGTACGTTATTTGCATTTTGACAGAATAATTTTCTCGCATCCCGCATATGAGCAATCTTCATAATTATTTCCGTTCATTAGACAACTCGCTCTAGGTCTGGTTTAAAATTAGCTATCTATTACAGTTTTACTAACTATCAGGTTAAAAATTTAAATTATGTGTGTTGACGCTTGAGTAAAAAGTTCTGCCTACACCGGAACGTCGCTCCATTTCCACCAGTAGAAGCAGCTTTGACCCACGTGATCAAAAAACCCCCCTGTTCACTTGACTCTCTATGCAATTCAAATTTTGTACGCTCAACTTTCTTTCGCAATTTTCATTTGTTTATTTTATTTTGTAATTATATTCGCAATATACGCATTATTGAAGTAAACAACTGAGCTTTATTGAAGAGTACGCATAACGCCGAATCAATGTGCTTTTGCTATATTAATGCCTACACGACTCATACTTTAACAAAATCAGACAGATTAAACAAAGATTTTTAATAATCTAGATGTGTACGATCTTCTGTAAGGTATTAAATCTCAGGATGACTGATTTGGAGCCTTTGTTTTTGCAAAGCCTTCAAAGATTCTGTTGAAATCAACGTAGAAACAAATAGTTACCACCGGCCCGGTATTATTGCCGGACATCATTATAATTAAATCTTTAATATCCTTGACCTTTCTGTAGCATTTCGGTTCAACAGTTTCTAAGTAGTTTACACATATAAGAAGTCTTTAAGCAAATGTAAATATATTAACGACCTACACTTAATATATTCAGTAAAATTAATTCAATAGGCCATTTGACGAAATTCCTTTCGAGTTACGTCACCTCAAAAGTTATATAAAACTAACTAGTTGAAATTTTAGACATAACATCCAAATAACAAAATTTGTGAAAGTTAGTAGTGGCAATTTTCAGCCTTCGAAGAAATATTGTATTAAAATTTCATGGGGAATGTACCTAAGTACATTTTAGGCTGACTCGACCGAAAACGGGAATTAAGAGATGATATCGACGACGAAGTAATTCAATATCCGCACCCGCTTCTCTTTTCATTCTATTTGGCTTAAAGAATCAATATTTTAGAAAAGATCCGGTAAAAAATCTGTAAATATGTTTCTAGCCCAGCACAAAAAGGAAGTTCGCTATCGCAAACGTCTTTTAAATTTAAACTTATATCAGTGAATTCACGGGCTCACGTACAATGCTCTAACTTAACATAGAACATCCATGAATTCTCCCTGCGGGGTTGGCTGGTATCTTCCAAGATAGAGAAAAGTGCATCACAGTTCCTGGGATTAATGACCCAAACGTAAAACGCGAAATGTAAATGTAAAGCGTATTTACGCTCGTTCCCTTCTCTTCCTCGTCAAATATAGTAAATGCATTTCCTACTTCTTCACCACTTATAAATCTTGCAATTTTGTGAAGACTTCGTTGTCATTTTGGTTGCTGTTGTATCATACTCAATACTGCTGCAAATTTGTTCTTTCCGCTAATCCTGCATATTACGCTATTGGTCTAGTTGCTAAATCTTCTATATTTCTATCTCCACAGATACCTGGACTGGATGAATCTGTTGACGTACGACTACCATTCGGCGTTCGAGCCGGCGGTAAACCACCACGCGCCGCTCTACCCCCTGGAGGAACCCAACGAGTACAGCGTCGACACCGAGCTTAATATCGTAAGTTTTTGTCCATTTTCATATACCTATTTGATTTTCATATAAAATCATGATTCATTCATGTTATAAAATTTTGATTGTTTAAGATATTTGTGTCATCTATTAAAACTGCCACTATCTAATCTTTCAGACGTTCCTAACGTTGAAATTTTAAAAGTATCCAATTCTATATCATCATAAGCAATAGAATTAAAGTTACAGGTATTACACGCAGTTACGAAATCCAAGACTTTTCACCCTTGATTTGTAATTTTATCAGTCAATAAAGTTATCATTATTATACGATTCCAGGACTACACCATTAAATTCTACTTGGAGAATGGCGCAGACCCAGATAAGCTGGTGCTTGGTATTCCCACGTACGGCCGTTCGTACACACTGTTCAACCCTGATGCTGTAGAGATCGGCTCTCCGGCCGACGGGCCCGGCGAGCAGGGAGATGCCACCAGGGAGAAAGGATACCTCGCTTACTATGAGGTAAATAAAATTAAACACCAACAATCGCAGTGGGTAGAAAAATTCATACTTTTACTGTCTTTCTAGACTTCGATATCCAAAAGGTATACGGAAATCCTAATTGCTAGAAGTTCTTCGTCCGTCCGTCTTTAAACAGGGTTTTACTCTTGATTCATAATAAGTAGACAGTTGGAATTTTGACAGAACAATTTCTACTTCCCTCCTGCTAAATTATATACGTGAAAATTTGTATGCGTGTAGTGTGGATGTTTTCAACTGTTTCACGCTAAAACGGCTAAACGGATTTGAATAAAATTTGAAGTCTATATAGTTAATTACCTATATTGATACATATGATACTTTTTATCCTGGAACAATGTAAGATTTCTGTGGGATTCTCAAAAAACTAACTATAACATGGATGAAGTTGTGGACGGAAGCTAGTATTTCTATAATCTATAATGCCACACTAATAAAATCAAAGGGAGACTTACAAGAAAATTCGATAATTATTCCGGAGATCTTTACTCGAAAACTATAACAACCCCTTTTTCTCTGCTAAAATAAAAGTAGTTGAAGTAAAACAATAAGATTTATTTAACGGGGCAGCATTTTAATCAATCTTTACTATTCAGATCTGCGAAGCCCTAAAGCCCAAGAATAAGAAACGCAGCGTTGACGATGACGAGGAATCCGAAGAAGATTCCGAAGAGGAAGATGAAGAATGGACCGTGATGCACCCCAACCCCAAGGCTATGGGTCCGGTGGCGTTCAGGGGCAACCAGTGGGTGGGCTACGATGACATCGACATCGTCAGGAGGAAGGCCGAGTACGTCGCGGAAAACGGACTGGGAGGTCAGTTTTTTCTTAATTTAAAGTAAAGAAAGAAAGAAAAACAGTTTATTGGCCCTTACAGCATGAAATAAGTGAAACAGAACGGTACATGAAGTAAAACATAGACAATCAAAAAAAGAAAGAGAACTAAATACTGGGTCGTAGTGCGTGCCGTGCGAGGCCAACAGGTCGCTGGCTCAGCTATGCTCTGTGGCAGTCGCTTTCGCGATACCACAGTAGCGCTGATTTTAAAGTGGTATTCTTTTCCTCTGTTGCAATTTGTTATGTTCAGGTTCTCCCTGCAGAAATCAGTGGTGAAAGCGTTCCGCGATAGTGGAACTTTCACAATAGCTGGTAATAGACCAAGCTGGTAATAGCTATATTTTAAATGCATCAGTTTCCCTAGCATATTGTCAAACTACTATGAATAGAATAAAATAGCATAATCTTTATTTGTTTCTTAGTTTTTCACGCACATCACTCATTAAATAAAACTAGTTTTTTACGGGTTAACGCACGAAACTTTATTTATTTATTGAGAATATCTATAAATAATCTTTATTTGCATTAAATAGGGTTGAAAAAAGGTGTTTGCTTATAAAGCATATGATAAAAGCTAAGAATCTTAAACCTATTTAGCCATATTAATAGCATATAGGGGAAACTACCCAATCATTGGCACTCTTCCTATTATTGGCACTTTTTAATTTAGTTCGAAAAAAGCAGGAAACAATAGAATATAGGAATAATGCTGCCAATTTTAAAATTTCGAAACCATACTAGGTTTTTCTTTTTAATATGTAACGACCTTGAATAATCTATTGTCTCCTTGTTTTTTTCGAATTAAACTCAAAAGTGTCATTAATAGGACGAGTGCCAATGATTGGGTGGTTTCCCCTATATGGAGTTTGTGATATGCGTATGTATATCATATCGCGGCTGCAATTGCAGTCAGCAATGCTGAGAATATCGCAGTAAAAAAACCCAGTAGGTATTTACTCATTGTATTACCTCATTTTCCCACGAATATTGGTGGTTCTATCACGTCCTAATGAGATTCTCTTTATGTGAAGGTTTACAGTAAAAATGAACCATAGGCTGCTGATCATTATGTTTGATGCCCGTGGTTAAACTATGTTTTTCCAAAATTAATACCATTTACAGAGTAGGCCTAATTTCTTTGGTTATCCTTAAAGATTCTACTGACTTTTTTCGCTGCAGGTATTATGTTCTGGTCAATCGACAACGACGACTTCCGCGGTAATTGTCACAACAAGCCGTATCCACTCATCGAGGCCGCCAAGGAGGCTTACATCGCCGGTCTTGGGTAAGTAAATAACTTAATAATTAATCTAGAATAGGAGGCTACTCTAGAACAAGATGATAGGTATAATATAGTACGAGCTGAAAAATAAAATACCTTGCCATATTGCGGATTCTAAATCAAACTATTGTTAATGTGTGAGGGGTCACTATATTATGGTCCCATGAGCCAGATAGAATGTCTTTAATTGGTGATTGAATCAATCAATGAACCCGTTTGCCAGATTCGTTGATTCAATATCAGAAATTATTTATTTATTATTATTGTTAAAAAAGTTTAAGTTATTATTTTGTTGTTATAAGCATTAAACAGCTAGATTTAAAATTCGAAAGAAATCGACATGGCCATTGAGGTCTCAGTCTAGCATAGTTGGTTAGTGAGTTTGCCCGGACAACGGAAGGCTTAGATTCGAGACCTGTGGACATAAGGAAATATTTATCTAATAAAAATCTCTTCAGGTTTATAAATTTTAGGTATTCATCGATTAATTGTTTGGTTTTGTTTGTTATTGCAGCGCTACGGACAACGCCATAGAGCGCGCGAGCCCCGCCCCGCGCGCGCCTCCGCGCCGCCGCCCCCGCCCCCGCACCCGGGCTTCTACCACCACCACTACTACTACCACCGAGACTCCGGCTACAGCCGCCAGGTATGTCCCAATACACTACTACCCATAACCATACACATAGACTATTCCATAAAGAGCGCATACCCCACCCTGTGCTGCTGCCCCTGCTCCCAACCCCGGGCTTCCTCTACCACCATCACTACCACTTCCACCGAGACTCCGGCTGCAGCCACCAGATATGTCCCAATTCACTACTACCTATAACCATACACATAGACTACGTCATAGAAAGCGCGTACCCCGCCCCGTGCAGCTACTCCTGCCTCCACCTCTGGTCTTCATCCACCAACACCACTACCACTACCACCGAGACTCCGGCTACAGCCGCCAGGTATGTTCCAATACACTACTACCCATAACCATACACATAGACTATTCCATAAAGAGCGCATACCCCACCCTGTGCTGCTGCCCCTGCTCCCAACCCCGGGCTTCATCTACTACCACCACTACCACCACCACCGAGACTCCGGCTACAGCCGCCAGGTATGTCCCAATACACTACTACCCATAACCATACACATAGACTACGTCATAGAAAGCGCGTACCCCGCCCCGTGCAGCTACTCCTGCCTCCACCTCTGGTCTTCATCCACCAACACCACTACCACTTCCACCGAGACTCCGGCTACAGCCGCCAGGTATGTCCCAATACACTACTACCTATAACCATACACATAGACTACGTCATAGAAAGCGCGTACCCCGCCCCGTGCAGCTACTCCTGCCTCCACCTCTGGTCTTCATCCACCAACACCACTACCACTTCCACCGAGACTCCGGCTACAGCCGCCAGGTATGTCCCAATACACTACTACCCATAACCATACACATAGACTACGTCAAAGAAAGCGCGTACCCCGCCCATTGCTGCTACCCCTGCCCCTGGGCTTCATCTACCACCACTATCACTACCACCGAGACTCCGACTACAGCCACCAGGTATGTCCCAATACACCACTACCAATAACCATACACAAATATTTCGTTTGCTGTCACGAAACTTACGACCAATTCACAATTAACATGTATGCAGCACTACTGAATACCATATTCTATCATCCATCCATCTATCATATACTAAATACCATATGCTATCACCGCCACTTTCCAGAGTAAGGAAGTTTTCCAAATTTCGTAAGTCCCAAAAGCGAAGACCAAAGTGATGGGGTTACGATTTAGCAGTCCCACACTACGGTTAGCAGTCGCTACTCGAGGCCTGCAGATATACCAAAAGACTGCTGAACTTCTTGAGGGAGTTGGAATGCCATGACTAAAGCCATCCTCTCACGCAAAAAAGACACCTGTAGCCTTAGTACGAGTGCGAGATCACAAAAACTATCATAGTTTTCGTAATTGTAATAACTCGTATTAAGGGTACTGGTGTCGAGTTGCGGAAAACATCCACCGTACAGAAGAAGAAGAAGCGTAGCGCGAATAATTCTCTGGTAATGTCTGTATTATACGGTAGCCGCAGCAATCAGGCATCTTACCTACTACATGTCATGAAGAGAGGTAGGGCTTAGCGGATTTGGAGCGCCCATCCGGGGAAGTAACATCCACGGTAAGGTATTGAACTCAGTAAAATAACACCTGTTGATGGTGTTGTTTCTGTAGGTGAATAGGGTTTCAGGACTCCACACTCAGACCCGTCTTTCCCATTGGGCACTTCGGGCAAGTGCCCAGGGCCCCGTGATCGATAGGATCGATAGGACCTCAGATCACAAATACAAAGTCCCTAGTTCTTGTTAGATTACCAAACGGGGGCCATACGGGCCCCATTATCCTAATATGCCCAGGGCCTCCAATAGGTCAATGACGGCACTGTCCATACTAAAGGTATTGGGTCAGAGTAGGCATTGGTGCGAGTGATATTTTTAATATAGCTAGCGTCTAAAAGCTATAGTGACCGCTTACCAACAGGCGGGCCATACGCTTGTTTGCTACAGTTTTAACATAAAAAGTCGTGCCCTTCCTTGCTTGCCACCCTTTTTACAAAAATACAGCTTAGTTTGATCTCACTTTGTCCTGCAGGAAGAGCAACAAGCGCAAGGGTTCAGCGGTGACGAGCACCACGCCGTCGTGGAACATCATCACGCCGGAGCCGCCCACCACGCCTGACCCCGGATCGGGTAAGACAGTATATCATTGTTTATTCTTTGCTTTTCGTTTTAGAGTACAAGCTACTTACTCACATACTTAATTTTCTTAATTGATATCTACGTTTGCTGAAAAACAGTTATTGTCTGTTTATTTTTTAACTTCAACTCGTCAACCATCTTGCAAAGTTATGGGCTGACAACCACGAGCGTTGTTCCAAATAACCCAATAACAACAATAAAGCTTGAAGGAAATTGTATAGAGGTTGATATTGGGAGGGATACTTTTATTATGCGCAAACAATGTTGACTACATGCACTTCTTTTTAATAAAACATATTCAAGGTTTTGAATAGGTAATACTATATCTTGCGCGGCCATTCGGAGATGGGTTCCGCGACCACACCCGCCCTCTCGGCACGCACTATGGGGACCGCTGTCGTCATAGTGAGTGTCGAGTGACGGTGCAGGAGTATTGTCTGGTTTTTAGTGGCCCTGATCAGGGCATAGGTAGGACTCTGTTCACATCAGCGAGCTCCAGGGCTGGTTGAAGGGGACAGGTAGGAGTCCCACATACCTTCTTCTCACTCCCCTAGTGGTTGACGGATGCGTAAGGCATTTTCCAGAGACAAAAAAAATAAAAAAGGTAATACTATCTCACAGGACTCAAAATTTTATTTTTTTATTTCAGACTTCAAGTGTACCGACGAAGGATTTTTCCCGCATCCCCGCGACTGCAAGAAGTACTTCTGGTGTTTGGATTCTGGTCCGTCCAACCTCGGCATCGTGGCGCATCAGTTCACATGTCCTTCAGGTAGGAAACTTTGATTCTGGCTGTCTCCTAATTTTCCTAAAATTTAAAGGAAATTTTGATATCATACTTGCGTTTATAAAACTATCGCTTAGATACTGAGATATTGAACGAGATCAGACTGTACTTGCATATTCAATGCAAGAAGTTCAATGAGGGTTTTTTGGAATGACAGGCACCAGGTGGCAGTACTGAGACGAAAGGTTTAATCATCCGTCAAATCGCATATGATCTCATAGTCTTATGAATCTGTTCTATGGAGTTGGCGCTAAAAACTTCATACAAAAGACCTCACGTAATAGTGGCGCCAACTGGTGACGTAAATTTTCATAAACACCCTCATTGACTCAACAAACTTTCGCATTGGTCAGTAATGAAATGGATAAACAAAATTTTAAAATATCAAGCTCCTATGTGCTTTTAAGAGCACCATTCAGTCGTTAGCCACCGCCAAGTCGAATTCAGCCTGCGCGGTAAAGCATAGCCCTCTTCTACTTCTATTCCATCCAAAAGAAAAGCCCGGAGCCTTTTCAGTAAGGACTATAAAAATCTAAAATTGATGGGCTGATTCTCAAATCTGTCTAAATGTTAGTTTGTTCCTGAATAAGTATTTGTATGTTTATAAGATATACGATAATAGAGGTGCTCGATGGTGCAAGTGGTTAGCACGGTCGGCTGCTGTCGTTGGTGTTAAGCAGCTTTCGCAGTGATCGGTCATTGGATGGGTTACCAAAATAATGAAATTTTACTATTTTGAGCTTCTCCGTGCTTTGGAAGGCACGTTAAGCCATTAGCAGGTTATGGCCTAATCTTCCTATTCCATCCATTGGGAAGGCATGTGCCCCAGCAGTGGGGACATTAATAGGCTGATGATAATGAGGCTAATAAATGTATGTACTTGCACTATAATTAAATTCATAACTTCTTTTAAAGAAATATTTCTAAAAAACCACTTGGTTTCATCAACAGTCTAATCAAACCTCTTTGAACTCTCCCAGGTCTCTTCTTCAACAAGGCCGCTGACTCCTGCGACTTCGCCCGCAACGTTCTCTGCAAGAAGCCGGCCGCCACCACCAAACCCACCACCGCCAAGTCTACCACCAGCACGACCACCACCACCACCACGACGACGCCCGCCCCCACCAGGAGACCCATCAAGATCAGCACCAGGAACTCACTGCTGTTCAGGACTACCACCACAACTACCACCACCACGCCAGAGCCGGAGGTAAATCACGCACTTATACGCTTATATTCCAGATTAAAAGCGGAGAAATTAAGAGAAAAAATATCAGTATCAGTGTTGCCAGGTCCGATTTTTAAAAATCGGGAGGCGTTATAGAAAAAAGCAGTTAGTTGTATGGAAAGAGCTACAAGAAAAAGTATTAGAATTGGTAAATCACACCGAGAAATAGGCCAGTAATGAATGTATTTCGGTGGCTTCTGCCGCCCCTCAAAGCTGGTTTTTCATTTTACACAATAACATATTTATTTTATTATAATCAAGGTTACCTACATTCTTAATAGTGGAAAACGCAACTCAACATGCAATTTTAAAAAGAAAATCGTATTCTAAGAAAAAACAGTACATTCATGTAGGAAAACAGAATAAGAGGAGAAATTTCAGAAAAACAGGTGATTTCCTGAAAAACTGGTGATCTGGCAACCCTGTGGCCTATATCTTTTGTTTGTCAAACTTCAGCACTAGCTTTTACCGACAATGTTTTTATTAAGAAGTTTGTCTTCGAATGTTTGTTACTTACTCAATCACGTAAAAAAGCTCTTGTAAGTACTAGCGGCCGCCCGAATCCCTCAGGAACCTTACATTTTACTGAAATAAAAAGTATTCTATGTCTCAAACCAGGTAATAAACTATATGTGTGCCAAATTTAATCCAAATCCGCTGTTATTGCGTGATTGAGTAAAATATTACATACAAATTCAAAGCTTCAATGTGTTATATTAAAATTAAGTTGAAAGTACACTTACCCTCTTATAAATAAACGAAGAATAAGCTTGAAATAGTTATAAAGTGTTTTGTCTCTTTTCATAGTATTTTTTATAGCTAGGTAGGCAAAAGACTACTCCTGATGTTAAGTGGTGATAAAGTGCAGACGCGAAAAAAGCTGTTACAGCGGTTATTAACTGCCACACCAACCATTCCCACCTTACCGGCCTGCAGAAATGCTTTTTCACGCCTCTCTTAAAGAACCCCAGATTGTAAGGGGGGAACACGTGCGCGGACAAAATATTCCACTTGTGAATTTTCACCAAATTTCTTTGTTCGTCTAGGAATCGAATATTTTGTATATCATTTAGAATATGAAAAATTACTCCAGCATATATAAATAAAAATGCCTTAAATATGTAGTGAAAAAAAGCTAATTAAGGAAATCCCATACTTAGAATGTCATTTGAAACAAATGGAGATAATGCAGGGTTGAATCATAATTTCCTTTTTCATTTTATAATAACTCGGTTTGAGTAGAACTAACAAAATGTTAGATTAACTGAAAACTAATACAAAAAAATAATTTCTATCAATTTATAGAGTGAAGAAGAGTACGAAGACGAAGCTTTGGAAGACGCTACTGATATCGAAGCAGAAGATCCCAAAGTCATTAAGGAGCTAATCGATCTTATTAGGAAAGTTGGTAAGTATTACTAGAATCTAAAACAATATAAATGATACAGTTTTGTATCGTGAAATATATTTATAATTACTTTATTTAAAAAAAATAACTTAACTTTACTAAAAGAAGGAGTCGACAAGTAACTACTTTGTAAACTATCAAAAATACTTAATAAAACGATATGTGGATTTCTTCAATAGGTGGTGTGGAACAACTGGAGAAGCACTTGCATTTATCTGAGAATTCCGCGAGCACAGATGGTGCCGTCACTACCACTCAATCTCCTTTCAATAAAAAACTCTACCAAAAGGTCCTTGAAAGGACACGGGGAAAGAGCAAGTAAGTTTACAATACCCAAAGTTGATATTATCATTATATATAGTAGTATTCGTCGCCTTTACAAATTGTAACATAAATTCGTAAATTTTTCAGGTTCAGTAATTCTATTTCTGATGGAACATCACAAAATAGTCGCAGAGGACCACAAAACGCTGGGCTAGAAGCTACTGATGATAGAGACATATTTGTGAAGAAAGATCGACCCCAGTAAGTATTTTTTTAGTGGGTATACAGCTGAAATCTACATAAATTAACATTGAAACAATTCTTGTTCTAATTACTAAGTAAATAATAAGTGTTTTAAAATTAATAAGTGTTATTATGTCTTCCAGATATACTACGATCAACCGCTCTCGTCCTTCCTCTACCACTGAAGATCCTTTGGCCAATGAAGAGGATGACGATGAATTCGAAGAACCACCACAGTTCCTGTCCAGGGCTCGAGCAGTAGAATCTGAGCCTTCCGTAGCTACAACCGCAAGACCATTGCAATATGTCAATATCCGCAGGGCAAGACCAACAACGATTTCTACTTCGGATACTGCCGATGACACCGCATCTAGGTAATTTGAAATCTCATATCTCAATAAATTAGTTATTGTTAGTAAATAATTCATAAATAAACTAAAATATAGTTCTTTTGATAAATATAATCACTAATTAAAAATAACCCAAAAAAGCACGTACTATAGAATCAGTGCATAGTATATTAGCACATACATTCTTACATACCTAATTTATTTTATATCAGCAGTTACACAAAAATACACTTTAGTTTTCTTTATCGGTGGGTACTTATTTGTTAACTATTTACACATTTTCAGAAATGCATTATTCGAACGAGTAGAACCATACGTGTCTATAAGAGAGTCACCTAACTCACTGGACATTGCCAGTGCTAGAAGGGAGAATATGCCAGAATACGTGACTATCAGACGACAACGCCCTACAACTGAAGAAACCACTACAGCGCAGTAAGTTTCTATTACATACATAGATACATCCCCTTGCAAATTCGACAGAGTGTTAAATCTGTGATAACGGGAAATGTACTCGATATAAATATCATAGCCACAGTATATCCCAATGGTAACAAATTTTCCGATTACGCCCCGTCTACAACACACATCAAAAGTATCATGACCGTCAATAGATTTTTACTATTGAATTATTTTTTCAGCTATTTACTGTAGTTTTAAAATTTACTGGTCCATTTTTTCCACAGGTATGAACATACGGAACTGGGTACAGATTCTCAAGATACTGCTCTCGAAAAAGAAATTTCTTCCCAACCACAATATACTTCGATAGTAAGGGCACGCTCAACAACTCTACCCTCAGTGGAGGAGCCAAGTAGCCCTGAACCAACCACTGTATTAGCTGTACAAATATCATCTTTGTTGAACTCTCCCGATGACGATGAGTTAGAAACGCCTGAACCTGAAACACCACAAGCGACAGAAACTGAAGCAACAACCACTACTTCTACTACAACAACGACAACGACGACAAGTACAACGACCGCAGCGCCCATTACCGCATCCACACGCCGCGCAATTCTTCGGCGTCGAGGTTCCACCACAACTTCAACTACAACGATACCACCAAGTACCACGCAGGTAAGTTCTAGGAATTATACATTTGTAAGACGCCGCCGTCCACTTTCCAATCGAAACGAAATATCCCCAGACTTAGTAGACACAGATGAAAATCTGAGAAAAATTAGATCGACTACCCCAGACAGTACAGAAGTAGATGGAATTAAAAATATTATCAATTTACAATCTCGGCAAAGATTCAGGATATCAACACTTAATGATGACTCCGTACCTGCTGCGGCTGCACCCGTAGCTAGAGGTCAATTCCGGCCAACATTATCCCGTGATGAAATAATAAGCTTGACACCAGCGGATTCAGATACACCTCAATTTGTACCTAGACAAAATTTTGCACAGAGAACAGTAAGTGAAAGGCGGTTCCGCGGAAGAACTTCGACCACGGTAGCAGATAACATAGAGGACAGTGAAGTTTCTGCAGCCACTGTTGAAGTAAGACGACCCAATATTATACCTCGCGGTCGTAGTCGATTTACACTTAGCACAACAGAGACACCTAAAGAATCTATTGGATCCGCGGCGATCACAAGAAGACCTACGTTTTCTAGGTTTACGCCAAGACCTTTCGCAAGACAAGGAAGTACTTCAACAACAATTAAAGAAGATTTAATTGATGAAGAAGTTACATTAAGGGCTTCCCAACGTTTACCTTTTGTAAGACCAAAATTCCCTAACCAATTACAAGGTCGCAAAGTACCGTTTATACCGCGAGTGTCTACTACTGAACAAATTTTGACAAACGATGAAAACGTTGATGATGATATAGAAAATAAACAGGATGATATTGCTCTTTCGGAAAGTGCTATAGAAGAAAAAGAACACGATGAAGACAACTCAGAAGAAAAAGAAGAAGAAAAAGGAGAAGAAAAAGAAGATGAAAAAGCAGAAGAAAACGTTACTGAAATTCCCAAGCGTAGAGTAGTTATCAAAAAAATAAGACCACCATCCAGCACTACGGAAAATATTGTCACTACAGAAACATTACCATCTGATGACTCTGGGAGAAGAAAGTTACGAATTATTAGGAGGAGGCCTACATCTACAACAGAAGCAGATTTAAGCTTTAGCTCTACAGAAGCAGATTTAAGTTTTAGCTCTACAGAAGCGACTACTCTGCCATCGCCTAAAATTCGTCGAATTATCAGAAAGAAAATTAGACCTGTAGAAGATGAACCACAGCCAAATATTGTTGCAAAATCAATAGGTTCACTTAATGCTATTTCGAAAAATAGTGTAACTACAGAAAATTTAGTAAATTACGGAGAAAAAACACGAAAAACATTATTACCCTCATCAACCACTACCGAAGAACCTTCAACTTCAAGCAGTGTCTTGCCTTTGACTGAAAAACTTGAAGTAACTAAAACAGTGGATGTGTCTGAAACCCCTCAAGAATCTTTGGATAACGTTTCGCAAAAAGATGAATCTGATCTCAATATATCTACCTACGATAAACCTGAATCGAACTCAACACCTGATAAAATCAGTGACAGTGAAAAAGCACTGACTGATTTGGATAGTACAAATAACAACGATGAAACTAAAGAAATAGAATCACCACAGGTCCTTATAGAAAATCAAAAGTCTTTAGATTTATCTGAAAATAAAGAACCAGTGACTGATGTTCCTGTTACTGAATCAGAAGGTGCACATATAGAAACTACTACTGTAAGTACCACACAGCAAACATCTTCCACTTCTCGAGCTAGACTGCCATATAGGCCACCAAAACGTATATTCACTACTACAACGGAATCTTCACTTCCTTTTAGTAGTCGAGTATTTAGTCGCAAATATAATCCAGGTGTCTATACAAGTCCATCCACAGCGGAAAAATCTGATTCACTTGGACCAGTGACTAGAAGACCTCTCTTTAATTCAAAACCATTTACTAGAAGACCATTTACACCCTTTAGAACTACAAAAAAAGTAGAAGAGGTATTGGAAGAGGAATATTCTGATGAAGAAATCTTAGATGAAGAACCTGAAAATCCCTTCGTGTTTGTTCCACAAAGTCAATTATTCACTAGAAAACCGAGTAATACCGCGGAAGAAGACGAAGAAGAATACGACGCCGAGCCAGATGCTGAAGAAGTTGATAACGAGGAAGAGGAACCTGAAGAAGTAATTCCACCAAACAGGTATACTACTACTAGTAGAAAACCCATTTTCAAACCACGTGTTGTTAATTCAAATACATTTAGAGCTTCTGTCTCTACAACGGAATTACCGAAACGACAGTTTAACAGTATTCAAAATCGAACTGCAATATTTAATAGGTTTGGCGGAAATAAACAAGTTAATGATACTAAAAAACGCGTACAAAACGTACCGCTTGGGTATGTAGCTCCAATTAGTACGGATTCAAAATTAAATTCTTCTATTAACAAAGCTGAAATACCAACCACTGTAATATCATCACTGAAGGATGAAAATGAACAATTTACTACAACTGATTTAACTTTTGGCACAGAATCAGACGATGACGATTATTTATCAATGACAGAATCTACCTCTACTTTATCAGAAAGTACAAACACATCCGATGATATTACATCAACAAACAACATTAACAATGAATCAACCACCTTTGATATGGACGTAGATACTAGCACCGATGAATATTTAGAATATACAGAAGGTACCACTTCTAACCCGAGCACACAAGATACTACAATAAATAGTCAAACAGAAACTGAAATTGAAACAGAAGGTAGTACTGACGCAACAACAATTTCATTACCAGAAACTACAACAACTCAACCCACAGTTATGCCAATCGTCAAAACTCAATTTGACAAATTATTCTCAGTTAGCAGAGTTGTAGAGGTATCATCCAAACTAGACAAACATCGTCTTAATAAAAATAATGAAACAACACTTATAGAGGAGGGAAAAATTATGGTAGAGAAAAAACCTATGATTGATAAAATTGGTGAAGTTAGTAGATTTAGTCTTATTAAAATAGTTGAAGATGAAATACCTCTATATTTGACTAAACTTGGGCATGTCTATCCAGTAGAAAATCCTCCTGAAAATTTGATTCGTATTGATGAAGCAAGAAACGCGAGAGCGTTACGCAATTTCGCTGATGCTCCAAGAGAAAATTTGGTTGCTTCCGAGAGCATAAATGAAGCCTATCGTCACGTGAAGAATTCTAATCAAGATCAAGAAATAGGTAATAAAAGCCAGGTTGAGCATCTTATAAATGATGATTTTCTCAGTTACATTAACGAAGAAAATAAATCTGAAAAACCAACAGAAACCCCATTAAGTTCAACTGATACGTCTTACAAATCAGAATGGCAGTTTGTACCTGCCGCGTATGAAAAGGAACAAAATTATCAAGACAGAGTCGCAAAAAGCTTTGAAATAGTTACTCCACGTAATATGCTGACAGATCCATCCACTTTACCTTTAGAATCCCTATTTAAGACAGAAAATCCTATCATTGGCAGAAAGAGCGGTCATAACCAAGAAAAGCAACCATTTGTTGTATATTCAGCTTCAGTTCCTACCCCAAACGAAGAAGCAAATATAGTAAAACTGGAAGTGTCAAAACCAGAAATTGGCCGAAGTATCATCACGTTTGCTAAAGGTCAAGAGTTCCAAGGAGGATCCATAGCTGATGAAACTACAATCAAATATCCAGTTAGTATGTCAGTCATACCTTTGAGCTCAACGCCATCAATTTCTACAACAAGGTCAACACCGTCTACAACTACCACGACCACAGAAAATATAGCAACTAGTCCAATCATTGATATATTAACGACAACCCAAGCAACAACAATTACCACAGAAACTCCATCCACCACGGAAGTACCATCAACTACAGAAACTATACCTGAAGAAACAACCACGCCAAAAATTTCACCACTTGATGCTAAGAGATCCAAGTTCGCATTTCCAAGAAGACCCATTATTAAGACGAACTTTACACGCCCTATACCGAGACCCGTGAACAAAATTAACGCTACGGTAATCAATAATTTAAATCAGAAAGTCAACAAAACCACATCCACCGGCTTCAACCCAAGCAAATCTCGTTTTACTGCCACAAGATCACAGAACGTACCAGTAGATACAAGAAAAAAGACCACTAATATTACTAGAGTGCCTAGTTTTAAACCGGCATCTAAAATTTTTAGTACCGAAGCTCCGAGAACAACGACTGAAAGAAAATTATTTGTCAAACCTATCAGGCCCAGCTTCCGACCAGCTTTTGTGCCAAGAAGAACCACTTTAGCACCTGAAACTACCTTGGATACGTAATGAGTAATTGCATAAAAAAGGGTCCGAAGTAACCCGGATTTCTGGCCATAAACATACTCTAATTGACTGATTTTAAAGTTTAGAATATTTATATTCGCTGTTTCTCTGAGTCTGGAGATTTCAAAATTAGGACTTCATGTCGTGTAGTTATAAAGGCATGAGTTCCATTTTACGATTCACTGGTATGCGTTTTGAATTTTATTTTGTTTTATAATCCAAGATGTGTGTATAATTCGCACAGTGACATTTTCTTTTTAGTCATATTTTTAGAGATTCATAGCTTTAACTATACTATATTTAGATCTATGGAAGTTTTTTTGTACCAAAAATGTATATTATATAATGTTAGTTTGTTTTGGTATAGTAAAGGCTTTCAAGTTACAAATTGTCTTAGGTTATAATTATTTAAAAGTAGTATATTTTAATTAATATTATTAATCGTTACCAATAATATTTGTATATGCGAGAGTTTAGGTTCGGGCATTTTATAATAATGTGAATGACAAATTGTATTTGTAATTATCGAAAAGCAAAAGGTTTGTAATAAAGTATTAGTAAGTACATTTATTATTTATTTATTTTCGTGGAATATGTTTATTATTTTGTGCTATAAACTTAAGAGAATGCACATTTAGCAACTTGCACTGAAATCTGTGCGTGACGCCAAATCTAAGTTCAACATCATAAAGGTAAGTGAAAAATTTAGTATGTAAGGCAACAATTACAACCACCAAACAGCCCTAGTCTTTAGAGATCACTACGTCCCTCGTACCCTATAGTTATGTACTCACTGCTGCAATGGAATACCAAAATAATAATATCTTAAGCAATTACTCTGTCAATGACTATAATCACTTATAATTAAAGTGAAATCTTAAGTGATAACGGTGTAACACATGTAACAATGAACCCATGAGAAAATATTCAGCGCCAATCTCCCACTGTGGTACACAAGATTTATTGTTGAGCTTTTTCCTCTATTCAAACACTCTTCGATTTTTTGTTACACTTATAAAGGTCATTGAACACAAAGGATTTTTTATAACATATCTATCTCAGAAATATTTCATGGTCATTTTTTTATTGGAATCATGTATTACGTGTTAAACAAGTCAGTCAGCAACCGCTAAAAAAACAAAATTGAAATGTATAAACTGATTAAAATGATATGGATGAATAGATTTATTAAATAATACTCGGTGTAAAAGACTACGCACCAAAAAGCCTCGTGCAAAATCAATTTTATTAAAAAAAAATACGTGCGCGGAAGTCACATAAACAATAATTATATTATCGCATTTGTTATGTCCGCGCAATTGCACTATTGATAGATGGAGAGTTTTAATCTGTTAATGCTACTATAAGGTACCAACAGAAGTATAATAAACTATAATTACTTACTATTCACTTAAACAGGTAATATGTTTAATTAAATAATAAGTAAGATTGCGTACAGAAGTGGATAATAAAAGAAAAATAAGACATTGGTCGTTCTGTAACACAAAAAAAATGTAGTGAATTTTATAAAGTCAATGTTTATTTAACACATAAGGAAGCCGAAAATGTAAAGCGATCTCTTGATAAGAAAACCTTGCTTACTAAATAACATGTTTCCACTTTGTTTTTAAATGTACTATCATATACTCAACCACTGTGTTGTCCGTTTTTCACGGCCTGTCGATTGCCATGATCATTAAGATTTGTTCGTTAAGCTTAATAAATCTACTATATACAGCCAGCAGTGACCCAGTTGTTTACTAGCATATGTGCTGTAGCGGGCCCGCCAAACGCCCTTCTCTTTGCCAAAGTCAAGTCAAACCTTGAATCATTTAAATGACATCAAATATTTTTATCTTATAATCTCAAAAAGGAACATTCGTAAACCTTCAACAAAATTTAAATGGGTACTACCTAATAAAGCAGATAAATTTAAAGTTTTATGAATGTCAAGTACACTTAGGACCCCAAAAAGGTCGCGGGACCAAGAGTACATTTTATGTAAATAGTAAGAATATTTTGTCAGACCCTTAAAAGTATTTGTGTTTAATGAGTAGGTATATACGGCAGTATCAAAAACAATTCTGTCCTTAAATTTAGGTTTTGAACTCGGTTTTGTGCTTTGACGATAAACTGAGTTTTTCGGTCGTTGAGTTTTTGACAGCTCCGTAAAGTATCGTAATTATCAATTTTTGTTTGGGAAAAGCTAGTTCCTTCTTAAGTCGCGTCCGGTAGGGGCGCTGTTTAAGCCTCAGTACGCTATCGTACCCTCACATAATATAAGTGATATATCTAAAAAAACTCGTGTCTAATATTATAACTGGCCATATTTTGACTAGTTCCACCACATGCAATGTATAATCTAATTTAGATTAGATTTTAATTGCAGTCCATAATTCTTGTGTGAAAAGATCGTTATCATCTAAGTTGATTGAGCAATTACTTAAGCGCCAATTAAAACAGGTTCTAAATCTAAATCGTTTCACAAAATTAGGTATCATTAAAACAAACCTAAGACAAGTACTGTGTTCTTAAACATTTCACTCGTTTTTGGCTGTGTAATTAATATCTAATTAATATCTGTGTAATCTACCACACTTTAAATCCTCCATTAAATATTCTGAAACTGTTAGCTTTCTGCCGACATTTAATCATCCAATGTCATAATTAAAGAAACTATTATGATAACTTATAATGCTGTACTAATTTTATTCGCTTTTTAAATCTCTTCCGCGTCAAGAGCTTACTAATCAGACAGCCACATTTTTCACTGCTCGATGTGTGGTATTATGAATTCTAAAAAAGAACATTGTCATTCACGCGTATTTCACAACCACAGCGCCAACGTCACTTTAGCAGATTTGTTTTTCTTGTTAAAAAATGTGTTGTGACGGATGTTAGTGTCTAATAATAGTGGATTATTAACCACTAGATGTTCGGGAACATGCACAAGTGTTGGCAAGTGAAACAAAATTGCTGAAAGTGTCTTTCGACGTTCCCTCAAGAAGTCCACGGCGAGGTTCCAGTTCCCCACATTTTTACTGAAACATGGGGAAAGGGGGATTGAATTGACTGCCACTTACTTTTACTTGACTTATTACTTTGAACACATAGTATTTGTATACATTTTAACACTTGACATTGGCTAAATGCACAAGCCGTGCGAAGCCATCTAAAAGAAAAAAAAAACCACAACGCCGAAACTTTTCTTGAATTAAAAGTTCAGGACACCCAAGCTTTCAGAATCTTTTATAGTGTATTCATAGCATGGGTAGATAGATAAAGTCTTGTATGCATCTGTTTATAATTACGTATCAAAATAGTCATGTGATACAACAACATTTGCATAAATAACTATTTTCACATTTCTACGTCAGCCCTTAAATGCTAATAAATAAATATAATCAGGGCAAAAATTGTCGTCAGAATGCTCAATTTTTTTTAATTAAATATACTTTGAACTGCTCAGCTAAAGACACTAAAGGCTTCATCACACAGTTGCAGTTATGTTCTGTATCTAAACTTCAACTTAGCATACAACGTGTCTTCTGACGCTTAGGCGGCTGGGACAAATAACTTAGTTATACTATTTTATGGAACTAAGTCACCCAGCACGTCATTCTAACTGTATTTATGTTCCCAATGATCTCAAAAACGCATTTTCATAGATTTTCACATGAGGTTTATGTGTATAATAACATATTATATAAAAATGTAGTCTTCACCGTGGCTAAACGAACGCGGGGCTCTCGGTATACAAGTACTTTAACTAATACAACGCAAACAATACGTTATGCAACTTACAAGTAGGTATAAAGATCGTGACGGCTCCAATCAAACAGACGAAGCGTTTCTAGTACACACAGCAGTAGTGTCGTGACTCGTGACAAGCGTGATACGCCCGTGCGACCTGAATTCTGTACCAGAGGCTGTATTCTTAAAATTGATAACCGATATATCGTGAACTTTGTCGTGACATCTCCTTCTCTACAGCATTAAGAACTGCGTAAATCAATTCAATTCATTTATTCCATTAAACAATATAATTGTGTTGGAAATAATAATACAAAATAAAAGCAGACATAAAAAATAAGAAATTAACTTAGCAATGAAATTACAGGTTCTTCATTCAAATTGGATTATTACAATTAATTCATTTTTTTTTAAATTGTTTATTACGGACAACAAAGTGGTCCATCAAATCGTTAGTAACAATATTTAACTTAAATGCCATGTTAGTATATTACTATATTATAAATAAGTAAAAAGAAAAAATACAAATTCACTTTCTCACATTGGATACAATTCATATAAAAAAAAATGGGTGCGTGTACTTATGTAGGCGCGTGAGAAATTATCCTTCTTTGGCATCGTTTAAAATAAGTTTTTAATTGCATGCAAATAATTAATTACAATAAATTAATAAAAAGTCTGGAAAAGGACGAAGTCAATAAAGTTCAGTTTTAATTTGAAAAAATAAATAAATAATCAAAATATTCAATTAAAATCGCTACTGAATATAATTTATTAGAACATATGTGATTTGCACTTGTATGAAACTCAAACACGTATTCCGAATATACAAACTAGAAACATGTGGATAAATATTATAAATATGAATACCTATAACTGTTACTTTATTACAAAAAATAAAGATGTGGTTTTTGGTTCTACTACACCAATGGTCAAGAGATGGCGCTGTAGTCTCCTGAATCGCGCTTTGGTTCCGTTGTTCCAGATTAATAAATACTTTTTGTTACTTTATTACAAAAAATAAAGATGTGGTTTTTGGTTCTACTACACCAATGGTCAAAAGATGGCGCTGTAGTCTCCTGAATCGCGCTTTGGTTCCGTTGTTCCAGATTAATAAATACTTTTGATAGGCCTTCACAATGCAGTCGTTAGCACCCACTAAATAGAGATTCTATTTCTATTTTGTTGGTAGATTTTCTTAATGTGCGGTAAACACAAAAGTAACGCATGAAGTTGGTCGCAAAGCGACCAACTTCATGCGTTCACTTTTGTGCAAACCAGTGAACATTTGGTTCACTGGTTTGCTAGTCACTATTAATTTGGTGAAAATATACTAGGTTTTTCAAAGATATGGTATCTTAACTTTAAAAACAACATAGCCTAAGATGTAATATTAATCATAACATCTTTGTTACTAATCCTTTCGTTCAAATATAGTCTCATAAAACATCAATCATCATACAAAGATCTTACAAGCAAATTAATCAGATTAAATCATCTCACGATTATTACTAAGGATAACGGTCAAGCAATTAATCAAATCATTTTACAATCTATTATGAAGGCGGATTAGAGTTAGATAGAGTTTCATAATCAACACGCACGTGTTTACTCTACACACCCTTTGCATTAAAGCAACAGCCGTGCTTCCCTCTTTTAAATTTAACGTTGTTCTCAACGACGACAATAGAGGCTATAGCAACTCCTAGCCGAATCTGTATTGCTCTACGTCCACGGCAGTGGCTAAAAGTCTCGT